TTTTGAGCTAGCATGTTCCAATCCCCTTCAGAATCAACTCATGTTTCTTTTTTTTTTTTTTTTTTTTTTTTTTTGAGACGGAGTTTCGCTCTTGTTGCCCACATTGGAGTGCAATGGTGTGATCTTGGCTCACCGAAACCCCCGCCTCCTGGGTTCAAGCATTTCAGCCTCCCCAGTAGCTGGGATTATAGGCATGCACCACCGCGCTCGGCGAATTTTGTATTTTTAGTAGAGACGGGGTTTCTCCATGTTAGTCAGGCTGGTCTCAAACTCCCGACCTCAGGTGATCTGTCCGCCTCGGCCTCCCAAAATGCTGGTATTACAGGTGTGAGCCACCGTGCCTGGCCCATGATTCTTGAATCTGGTAAATAAAGAGAAGTAATCAACCATTTAACTTGTCCTTTTGTATTTGATACTTAAGTGCACCACTCAGATAGCCCCCTTCACAACTGAGATGCTCATTCAGTCCCCAGGAGCCTCCACTGCTAAAGTTCCTGAGCTGAGCCACTCCCAGGAATTGTTATTGGGTAAAGGGAGCTGTCTTGCTCAAGATTACACCCTCAACCCAAGGGCAACCCACAATGATTAGTCAATGCATGGGCGGGGTGGAGGGCACGAAGGCACAACCTCAACTTTAAGGAGCTATCCCGGCTTTAAAGCTCACTGTAGGACTATCTGGGTTCTTTTAAATTCCATCACAGTTCAACTTCTTTTTCACTCTGTCCCCCACTTTCCTCACTTTCTTACAGGTGTTGTTCCCTAGAGCTTCCTGCTTTAAACCTCTGACATGCAATTTTCATCTCAGAGTCTGTTCTAGAAACTGAGCTATGATACTTTACCATGTGAAATACACCTCAGGGTAACAAAATAGCTGATGAGGGAAGGTTCTCTCAAAAATAAATAGAGACTACTCTGGGCACACTGCCTATAGGTTATCCCTGCTCCACAAGGAGCAATACCAAAAAAGAGAATAATAATTAAAAAATAAATTTTTAATGAAAAAAGAATCAATAATGGCAGAGCACGGTGACTCATGCCTGTAATCCCAGCACTTTGGAGGCCAAGGCAGGCGGATCACTTGAGGCCAGGAGTTTAAGACCAGCCTGGCAACATAGCAAAACTCTGTCTCTACTAAAAATACACACACACACACATACGCGCGCACACACACACGAAAGAAAAAGAATAAATAGAGAAACAATGATGTAAGAATAACACCACTGGCCGGGCACGGTGGCTCACGCCTGTAATCCCAGCACTTTAGGAGGCCAAGGTGGGCGGATCACAAGGTCAGGAGATCAAGACCATCCTGGCTAACATGGTGAAACCCCGTCTCTACTAAAAATACAAAAAATTAGCTGGCAAAGGTGACATGCACCTGTAGTCCCAGCTGAGGCAGGAGAATCATTTGAACCCAGGAGGCAGAGGTTACAGTGAGCTGAGATCGCGCCACTGCATTCCAGCCTGGACAACCAAGCGAGACTCCGTGTCAAAAAAAAAAAAAGAATAACACCACTTTGCAAGTTTCTAATTACATAATCTAGGCAATGATCATCAGTGGCTGCTAATATCACAAAAAAAGAGACAGCTGGATATTATGTACCTCCTGATGGAAGTACACACCACCACCTAGAAGGTATTCTTGCAAAAAATTTTAACCTGAATCAGACTAAATCTCTAAATCCAGCTAATAGTTTATAAGAGATACAAATACGCAGAGGACACAATCAGAAAAATCCAGAATATAAGAGACTCAACTGGACAACCAAATTTCAACATATAGCTTGCAAGGGAAAAGAGAGAGAGAGGAGGGAGGGAGAAACCTATGAACAAATTACAAAAAAAAAAAAAAAAAAAAAAAGGAATTTTATTGGTTTGTGATTTTTTTAAAAGCAAAAACTATTAACATTATTTTAGACAATCAGAAATTTGAACCCTCATTAGATATTTGATAATATTAAAGAAATACCAGCCAGGCACAGTTCAAGCAATTCTACTGCCTTAGCCTCCCAAGTAGCTGGGATTACAGGCGCCCACCACCACACCTGGCTAATTTTGTATTTTTAGTAGAGATGGGGTTTTACCATGTTGGCCTGGCTGGTGTTGAACTCCTGGCCTCAGGTGATCCGCCCTGCCTCGGCCTCCCAAAGTGCTGGGATTACAGGCGTGAGCCACCATGCCTGGCCAACAATTAATATTTTTTTAGTGCAATTATTTCTCAAATATTTTTACTTGCTAAATCTGGCAACTCTACTTCCAATTCTTTTTCTTGTTTTTGTAGTTAATAATTTTTTATTTTTTATCACAAGTTGACTTCCTATCCTAAAATGTTATCCATATGGCACTTCATTAAAGCAGCTAATATTTAAAACCTCTCATGTTAAGAAGCTGCGGGAGATTTCTAGTATTGTCACCTTAGAGATGGCAGTTTTGGCACAGGTATTTAATTCTGAGATCTCAAAATACCAGCAGAAAAATGATCCCCTAGAGAATGAGAATCTGGAAAGTGTTTTTGACAGATCTACCACATTCTTATACCACAAATGCTGCCACATTGTTCTCTCTCCTCCTCCCCTTTCCTTTGCAATAACACAAACTGTATTCATCAGCCAGATAATGGCAGTGGTGAGTGGTGTTGATGAGAGCCTCCACTGCACTGACTGTGCTTACGCTCCCAGAGGTATGGCTTGAGGTGGGAAAAATGGAAACCAGAAAGTGGCCCCTTTAAAGATGACACATCTCTTCTATGTCTCCACCAAAGGGGACTCATATTTGTATTGTTTCAAAGCACTGTACTTTCCTACAGTTTGCTACTCAGAAAAGCTCGGAGAGGTTGAAGAGGTTAAACAACTGGCAAAAGGTTACACACCTGACTGGATCTTATATTTCTGATTTGCATCCCAGGATTCTTGGCACCATAATTTGGATAAGGTTGAGCTTTGGTAAAGTTAGAGAATCTATACACTGGAGTTCCTGTGAACTGACCACAGTTCCAGTCCCAGCTTCCAATCCTTCTGAGTAAGGGGTTTACTATGTACATAGCCTCAGACTCTCAGCTCATTCAACCACTCAATACAGATTTGATGAATGTTGAACTAGCTATGAAGAAACGGTGATGGACAAAACAACAAAAGTCCTGGCTTCAAAGAGCTCCCAGTTTAGGGGGAAACAGATAATTGAATACAGAATAATGATGAAATTTGATGAGTGTGGTGATAGAGGTGTCAGAGCATACACTAAGAGTCTCTAACCTCTATGCTGAGGAAGGCTCCCAGAGAAAGCGATGTTTAAGCCTAGATCTAAAAGATGAATAAGAATGAGATAGCTGGAGAGAGAGTGAGCAGGCAGAAGAGTGTTCCAGGCAGTGGGAATGGTATGCAAAGGCCTGGAGAACAGAGGTAATGCAGGGATGGGGTGACACAGAACAGAACTAAAATGCAGGGATGCATGACACAGGTCAGTAATTTTGTGCCTCTTCAAACAAATCGTTTTGACATTTTTTTTTTTTTTTTTGAGATGGAGTCTCTCTCTGTCGCCCAGGCTGGAGTGCAGCGATGCGATCTCGGCTCACTGCAAGCTCTGCCTCCCGGGTTCACGCCATTCTCCTGCCTCAGCCTCCCGAGTGGAGTAGCTGGGACTACAGGCACCTGCCACCACGCCTGGCTAATTTTTTGTATTTTTTTTTAGTACAGACGGGGTTTCACCATATTAGCCAGGATGGTCTTGATCTCCTGACCTTGTAATCTGCCCACCTCAGCCTCCCAAAGTGCTGGGATTACAGGTGTGAGCCACTGCGCCCAGCTCTTCTTGACATCTCTTAAAAATATTTATTTAAAGGAGAGGTTCATTAAGTCTGGAGAAGATGAAGCGAAATGTAGCGGGGAGAATGCTGGTGGCTTCCCAGTGACTCCTTTGTGATCCTAAACTGGGGCATTTACATGCCTTGGACCCAAATCTGCAAAGCAAATCAGTCAAACAAAAGGCCTGCACCTAAGCAGACCTGCCCTCCTTAGAAGCAGTTAAATGATCATTGATTGTGACTGAAGCAACTCCACGGGGTGCTTGTCCCCTCCTCCCAGTCACCACCCTAAGAAGCTTCTTTCTTTTCTTTTCTTTTTTTTTTTGAGATAGAGTCTTGCACTGTCACTGGGGCCAGGGCACAGAGTACAGTGGCACAGAGTACAATGCAACCTCTGCCTTCCAGGTTGAAGCGATTCTCCTTGCCTTAACCTCCCAAGTAGCTGAGATTACAGGAGCCCACCACCACCCCCGGCTAATTTTTTTTGCATTTTTAGTAGAGATGGGGTTTCACTATGTTGGCTAGGCTGATCTCGAACTCCTGACCTCGTGATCTGCCCACCTCGGCCTCCCAAAGTGTTGGGATTATAGGTGTGAGCCACCTCACCCGGTCGAAGCTTCATTATTTCTATCTTGTTGCATTTATATTTTTTGTTTTAGCACTCTTCCTCACTGGCTGGCTTTCCCAAATTCTGACTTGGTGAGAGGGAGATATGAGGCTGAGGAACTGGCAGGGGCCGAGAGCATGAAGTTCACACATAGCTCACTCACTGGGCTGAGGCTTCAGGCCCCTGTGCAAGAACACATCTTGACTAATTGCTGATGTGGGAACAGCAATGTGGAAAGGAGCTGCAGTCCTCGAACCTCCTTAATGCCTTACAGATTCCTTGGTCCCATTCCTGATATACTTAAAATCAGAATTTCTAGGGATGGAACTTTGGAATTTGTATTTTCAAATTTCTTTCTGGGTGAATCTGGTATTAAACAACTCTGGGGCTCACCGGACTCTGTTGTGAAAAGCACACATTTCAGAGCCAGGAAACCCTCAATTCAAACTCTGCCTCCAGCATTTACCTGTGTGATCTTGGCAAGTGGTTTTTTGCCTCATTTTGTTTTGTTCAGTTACTCCAGTTGGAGGAGGAGGAGGAGATTTACCTGTGTGATCTTGGCAAGTGGTTTTTGCCTCATTTTGTTTTGTTCAGTTACTCCAGTTGAGGGAGGAGAGGAGAAGGAGGACGAGGAGGAGGAGGAGGAGGAGGAGAAGGAGGAGGAGGAGAAGGAGGACGAGGAGGAGGAGGAGAGAAGGGAGGGAGGAGGAGGAGGAGAAGGAGGAGGAGGAGAAGGTGGAGGAGGGAGGAAGGAGGAGGAGGAGAAGGAGGAGGAGGAGGAGGAGAAGGGGGAGGAGGAGAAGGAGGAGGAGGAGGAGAAGGGGGAGGAGGAGGAGGAGGAGGGAGGAGGAGGAGAAGGGAGGGAGGAGGAGGAGGAGGAGGAGAGAAGGAGGAGGGAGAAGGGGGAGGGAGGAGAAGGAGGAGGAGGGAGGTGAAGGAGGAGGAGGAGAAGGGGAGGAGGAGAAGTGGAGGAGAAGGAGGAGGAGGAGGAGGGAGGAGGAGAAGGAGGAGGAGGAGGAGAAGGAGGAGGAGGAGGAGGAGGAGAAGGGGGAGGAGGAGAAGGGGGAGGAGGAGAAGGAGGAGGAGGGGGAGGAGGAGAAGGAGGACGAGGAGGAGGAGGAGGAGGAGAAGGGGGAGGAGGAGAAGGGGGAGGAGGAGGAGGAGGAGGAGAAGGAGGAGGAGGAGGAGAAGGAGGAGGAGGAGGAGAAGGGGGAGGAGGAGAAGGAGGAGGAGGAGGGGGAGGAGGAGAAGGAGGACGAGGAGGAGGGAGGAGGGAGGAGAAGGGGGAGGGGGAGGAGAAGGGGGAGGAGGAGGAGGAGGAGGAGAAGGAGGAGGAGGAGGAGAAGGGGGAGGAGGAGAAGGAGGAGGAGGAGGGGGAGGAGGAGAAGGAGGACGAGGAGGAGGAGGAGGAGGAGAAGGGGGAGGAGGAGAAGGGGGAGGAGGAGGAGGAGGAGGAGGAGAAGGAGGAGGAGGAGGAGAAGGAGGAGGAGGAGGAGGAGGAGGGAGGAGGAGAAGGGGGAGGTGGGAGAAGGAGGAGGGAGGAGGAGAAGGAGGAGGAGGAGGAGAAGGAGGAGGAGGAGGAGAAGGAGGAGGAGGAGGAGAAGGAGGCAGGAGGAGGGAAGGAGGAGGAGGAGGAGGAGGAGAAGGAGGAGGAGGAGAAGAAGAAGGAGGAGGAGGAGGAGGAGGAGGAGGAGGGAGGAGGAGGAGGAGGAGGAGGAGGAGGAGGAGGAGGAGGAGGAGGGGGAGGAGGAGAAGGAGGAGAAGGAGGAGGAGGAGGAGGAGAAGGAGGAGAAGGGAGGAGAAGGAGGAGGAGGAGAAGGAGGAGGGAGGAGAAGGAGGAGGAGGAATAGGGAGGAGGGGAGGGGAGGGGGGAAGAAGAAATAACATGGCTAACTTCACACTATTAAAGGGTTAAATGAGACTATTAATAGCCAGTACTTGGCCTTACAGTCTATAATAGTAGTAGTCCTTATCTTACCTGACCTTACTACCTTCCCAGGATGCCAAGCTCAATTCTGGTACTAGCTCCTCCTGCAGCCCTACTTGCCCTCTGCTTTTATTTCCCAAGAACTTGTATTTTAACTGTTTTTCATCTTACCAGCAGCTTCCGTGGGGAATGACAGAGATAGTGGTCACTCCCTGCTGAGAAGACGGACTGATATTGAAGCCATGGGAAAAGGAGTCTAAACATTTCCCACCCCTGTCTGAGGCCCCACCTCAGGCACAAAGATCTTCCCAAGGAGCTGGTCATCCCTCCCAGTGAATGGATAAAGTTGCTGTATGTAGGCTGATGAGGGTCACGACTTTTCTTGAACACCAGGCTCAGCACACAGAAATAGTTCTGAGGTAGTGGTGGCACATACACTGTGTTCTTTAATGATTGGGGGATCACTCCAAGCACATCTTTTTTTTTTTTTTTTGAGACAGCCTCGCTCTGTGGCCCAGGCTGGAGTGTGCAGTGGCACATCTCAGCCTCATTGCAAGCTCTGCCTCCCGGGTTCAAGACATTCTCCTCCTCCTGAGTAGCTGGGACTACAGGCGCCCGCCACCATGCCTGGCTAATTTTTTTGTATTTTTAGTAGACGGGTTTCACCATGCTAGCCAGGATGGTCTCAATCTTCTCCTGACCTCGTGATCTGCTCGCCCCAGACCCCAAAGTGCTGGGATTACAGGTGTGAGCCACCAGCTACTGGCCTACATCCATTCTTTACTAAGAAGAAAGCTGTCTATGGAAACATACATCAAAATTATCTTTAAAGGCTGGGTGCAGTGGCTCACACCTGTAATCCCAGCACTATGGGAGGCCTAGGCGGGTGGATTGCCTGAGGTCAGGAGTTCGAGACCAGCCTGGACAACGTGGTGAAACCCCATCTCTACTAAAAATACAAAAATTAGCTGGGCATGGTGGTGCACGCCTGTAATCCCAGCTACTTGGGAGACTGAGGCAGGAGAATCACTTGAACCTGGAAGGCAGAGGTTGCAGTGAGCCGAGATCATGCCCCTGCACTCTAGCCTGGGTGACAGAGTGAGACTCTATCTCAAAATTAAAAAAAAATTCTTTAATATAAGTACTGGGATTGCTTAGCACATTTTGTCATTGTGAATCGAGGACTGTCCAAACTTGTTTCCCCATTTTCCTCTCTAAACAGCCTTATAAATAAGCTAAAGCACATTGTTTTATTAAAAACAACGTATTTTCTGATGGCAAAATTAGTATATGTTCATTAAACACAATTCAGAAAATAACCAATACACTATGTAAAGAAGAAAATTTAAACCATCTCTAATCACCACCATGAAATAATAAAATTAACATTTTGGTTTATTTCTTTCGAGTGTTTTATATGCTTGAAAGAATATTTAGTAAAATTAGCATAATTCAATAGACAGTTTCTAACTTATGTTTTTCCACAATATTATATTGTGAATCTTTAGTATATTGCTAACAATTTTCAAAACTAAATTTTTAATGTTAACAGTACTCTAGCATATAAATATTCTATAACTTATTTCCCTGTTATTGACTCTTCCTTGAGGGTTTTTTTTTCATTTTTCTGCCATAAAATATTAAGAGCTAAGTTTCTTGTTTACACTTTATCTTTGGGAAAACTGACTTAAAGAGGTTAAATAGCTTGCTACAGGGCTGAACTGAATACAAATTCTATACTACAGTCTAATTTTTCATAGACCACAAATATTAATTTGTTGTAACACTATTAATCAATGCCTATAGCATATTTGCCATAATTTCAATACATTTTATTTCCTGACTTTATTTATTTACTTGGTTTGAGATGGAAGTCTCGCTCTGTCACCCAGGCTGGAGTGCAGGCACACCTGACTCACTGCAACCCCGCCTCTCGGATTCTGGCATACCCTGCCTCATCCTTCCACATAGCTGGGATTACAGGCTGCACCACCACACCCAGCTAATTTTTGTATTTTTAGGAGACGGGCCACCATGTTGGCCAGTCTCGGTCTCAAACTCTGATCTGAGGTGATCTGCCCATTTCAGCCTCCCAAAATGCTGGGATTACAGGCATGAGCCACTGCACCTGGCCCTGGCCTTTATTTTAAAAGTAAGCATTGGCTGGGTGTGGTAGCTCACGCCTGTAATCCCCAACACTTTGGGAGGCAGAGGCAGGTGGATCTGAGGCCGCAGTTTGAGACGGCCTGGACCAACACATGGTGAAACCCCATCTGTACTAAAAAATAAAAAAATAAAAACAATAAGCCAGGCATGGTAGCATACACCTGTAACCCCAGCTACCCGGGAGGCTGAGGCAGGAGTATCACATGGAAACTGGGAAGCGGAGGTTGCAGTGAGCTGAGATTCCACCACTGCACTCTAGCCTGGGCAACAAGAGTGAAACTCTGTCTCAAATAAATAAATAATAAAAGCAAGCATTATCAACAGTGTGGGAGAATATGAGTGAGGATATATGTGGTCCCAAAGTGGGGGTAAGTGGGAGTGAGAAGGAAATTCAGAACCCCTACAACTCCCATCTTCATTTCTGTCTCTTCTCATTGCACCAACTTCCCCAACTTTAACACCTCATACTGATAACATCCTTTCCTGGGTTTGATCTATAAACAAAAATAAAGTTTAGGGCATGAAAGGGCTCATGCCTGTAATCCCAGCACTTTGGGAGGCCAGACAGGCGGATCATGAAGTCAGGAGATCGAGACTATCCTGGCTAACAACACGGTGAAACTCTGTCTCTACTAAAAATACAAAAAATTAGCCAGCCTTGGTGGTGGTGCCTATACTCCTAGCTACTCAGGAGGCTGAGGCAGGAGAATGGCGGAAACCCAGGAGGCGGAGCTTGCAGTGAGCTGAGATCCCACCACTGCACTCCAACTTGGTGACAGAGCGAGACTATGTTCCAAAAAATAAAATAAAATAAGATAAAATAAAATAAAATAAAAGTTTCTTCAGTGCTTGGTATACTCCATCAAGACATCAGCCCCAGCATTTACATTTTAGTGCTTCCCTCCTTTTCTTTACTTGATTTCCAGTCTCTCTCTCTCTCTCTCTGTCTCTCTGTCTCTCTCTCTCACACATACACACATGCGTTAGGCCCGGATTGGCTTTTGATTTTCAGTAGAAATTGTTGGTATTTGTAGCTGTGCTTGATCACATAGGTGAAAAGATATACTTACAGAATAAGAGCTACCCTGTGACCATCCTTCTTTCATGTTGCTTAAAGCTATATTTCAAAGGAATACAGCAACAGGTTAAGGAAAGACCCGCGCCTGAGGGCCTAGAAGCCCAAGGTCCAAGGTTTGGGGCTGAGCTCTGTTACTAACTTCATACTGACCCTGGACAAGCTTCTTGTCTCTGTGATCACGTTCCATCTTTATTAGAGGATTTTGAAGATTCCTTCTGTTTCTGACATGAAATACTTTTCAACACACTTGTTCCTAGATGCCTTAAACATCTCTGAACCTTCCCAATTTAAAAAAATAACTTGTCTGAGGTGGCTTCTTTCTGTTCATCAAACATCTTTGATTCCATTCCTTATATAGGTCCAACCCAAGACAACACTGCTGGAGGGCCTTCCCACAGTTTTCTTTGTCACTTCAGTATTGCTTTTGATCCAGTCAATTTGACTGGGACTCTTTCCTGGTTCTGTGCTTTAGAGGACCCTACTCTGGATCCCATCTGGTACTCACTCTCTCCACATAGTAATAGGTCTCTATGGCCAAGGGGATTGTTCCACCTGAACCTCCTTCCCTCTTGTAAATCAAGTTCCCTCATGCTACTCAGAAACCCGTAATTCCTTAAGGTAAGTCTGAACCTGCTTCCAGGGGTTGCTTGAGCTTCTGCCCCTCTCTTGTATTTTTATGGGTAGGTTATACTGCCCAAAGTGTGGTCAAGGGGCAGCTGTGTATGGTGTTTGGAGTTGTGGATAGAGCTTGGATATGTGGCTAGAGTCTGCACACTTCAAGTCTCTGTGAGGTCAGTATGGGACAGAAGGGTGGGTGGTGCATTCGAGCAGGGTGTGAGAAACATCCATTGCCACATTCTACTAAGCTCAAATGTTGAGAATGAACCTACTTGTGAGATACACAATTTTGCAAAGAGAGACATAGAGCAGTCAAGGAAAGTGGCCTTTCAAAGATTCTGTGAGTTACTTGTAGCCACATAGAAGGACCCTCTGTCTGAAGTGAGGGGGGCAGAAAAAGAGGATGCTTATCTTTGGCTCTAGCTAGATTAAAATTCTGGACACAAAGATAATTTATACATCTTATCTGACTTCATACTGCCAAGCTAGAGTCACGATATTATGCACACAAAGTGTGATATTATATTAACAGTAATAATAATGACAATAGATTATTGAGCCTAACCTCATTCCCACACGCCTTCGACGTTATGTCTCTCTGTTTGTATTGGTCCATTTTTCTTCAACTGCTCTTGCTCTCCACCATAAAGGTCATTAGGTAAAGCAAAGCAATCTCCTTAGGTTGAGTTAGCCAACCTTCAATTAACTAGTAAATCTGAGACCAGAGTTTTAATACATGGCCTATTGAAAAGCATGTAAATCACAAACCTCATTTAGCCATTTCTTACATCACAGTGTTTTTCAGGATTAAAAGTATTTCCACAAATTCAGTTCTGTAAATTATATTATTATATTTCAAAAGGATCAAGAAGGAAAAACATGCTCTTTTTTAAAATGGTTTCAGTAGTTGTAGTTCTATTCAAGTCAAAATTCAGCTTGGGAAAATACTACCTAGGCTCCATAAATTAGCTGGATGACTCCGAACAAGTTATTTACCCTC